TTTCCATGGAGTACAATTTTGTCACCAACATATACTACGTATACAATATACACCAGCATTAGACACTAAAGAACAAGTTTGTTATTTAATGTTCTATCAAAAAAACATACCTAATAAAAGAAGGCGAACCTCTGTTGAACCAACAATGACAACAGAACAAGAACGATGGTGGTCTTTTAAAATAAGATTGTAGCTAGCACTTGCAAAACACTGAAGTAATGGCCATTGCTCGAGACTGCCTTGTAAAGTCTTGAGCGTATGTAAGGAGGTCGATAGTGTAGGTTTTTCTGGATTCTTAAGGAACTGACTCGCATATAACCCAAATATATGAATCATCATCAGTAATTTATGCTTATCGGTTCAATAAGCTGCTGATGGTACTAGATGGCTGTTGATAAGAAAAGAACAGTGGGTCAAGAATTACATTGTAACAAAAACTAAGTTGAATTATATACTTGAAGCATCGAGTAAAATGATTCAGAACTTGCTCATATTATATAATCAATCACAAGTAAGGCCGCGTGATCTTAACCGTGTTAGAGTCAAGTCAACAATCTCATATCAACAATCATCCAAGTTGATCAATAGATCAAGCTAACAAATCAGATCTAACATGTAAAATCGAAAATCCAAGAATGTTGAATCAGATCTGCATACCTTCTTTCCCATCCTTCTGTACTGATTTTCCGATTTGGGAACCACCGGGAACATTAACAAGGCTGCCTTTACATACATCAATCCAAAGACAATCTGCAATCCCATTGATTTCAACATTTTTTGTTGTTTCACCCTTAATATCATACCACAAGATCTTATGCTCAGTTTTGTTCGCTGTTCTAAGCAAAATCTGATGGTTGAGACTGTCATAAGCAATAGGTGAAACTTGCAATGATCCAAAGACACATAGATCTGAAATCTGGAACAGCTTAACCCAAGATTCTTTCACACCATACTCATTCATAACCCATATATCAACAACAGATTGTTGTGGATTCTTAGTTGATAAGTATAAACAACCATCCAAAACCCCAAAATCCAGCAATCCATCTCGTATATCATTAACAGAATGCATGTTTGAACCCATATAGTCCGGCAATGGGACATCATGAGTCCATTGTTTTTCACAAAGATTGAAACAACGGATCTGATATTTGCCTTCTTGTAAACTCCAAAACTTGTAATGAAGCAGATTGTTGTTTATAAGGGCACCATTTTCACGATTTCCCATAGAATCGTGAGGGGAAGTCCACTCAATCACTTCCCAGGAATTCGCCCTCGAGCTATAAACGTGAACTATCCTATCCATTTGATGACCGAGGAACCCCATAGAAGGATAGCGGTCAACGATTCTAACAACTTTGTAATCATCATTATTACAATCATAGCCAAACCCAAAATTCAAAGCAGAACATCTTCTAGGTGGAAGCAAAGAGGGGATTTCCCGGTAGCTGCCAGTCGAAGGATTAAGCAGGACAAGACAGTAAGGCCTATAACTTCGGATGCAAAGCAATCCATTACAAGATCCAACAACAAAGGGCTCTACCCCAAAGCTCGGCAGCTTGACAGCAGGAGTTTTCGGCAAATCCAAGTTGAATGAGTAGAGGCCACAATCATTACCAGTGAGGATGAGGAGTTGGTTTGAGTTGGAGGAGAGCATATTCAAGATGATGGAGTATGAATTCATGGCTAGAAATCAAGGCTAACCATTTTTTGGATACACACTTGAACCGCACAAGAGACTTTGCAGGCAGTCGTGGGAGTATATCGTAGTCTATTATATCCAATGGAGTAGATGCCATCACAGAAAATTACTCCCTATGCTTCTCTCTCTACCTGGGATCATATTGGTTCAATAGTTGCGAGGATTAATTAATGAATCGATAAACGATTATAATCTGCATACGTATGTGCACAAGAAACTCCAGTAATGTACAAACTTTTTACTATTAGACAGGGAAATTGACAGCTGATACCAACTCAGATAGGACAATAACATATATGTAAAGCTTAACCACAAGCAAAAATAAGTTTGTTTATGCTCTAGACTACATTCAAATAGTTTAAACAGCAGGTTTTCACTAAGATTGTACACAATTTATTATCCGAAGCATGTGTATAGAGAACATGGTACTGCATTAATTAATTTATCTCTATCTAAAGAGGCTGCAAAAATCGAATATAAAGACCACTTACTATGTAAATGTGAAGAGAAGAATACGCTAAGCATTTCACAGATATAGCAGGGTATTAGCATAACATATGTACCTCCCTAATTATACAGAACATTAAAAAAGAAAGTTGCCAACTTCAAAAAATCACTAAAAGGTGATGCTTGAGACATAACATACCTTTTGAGTTGGACTCTATAAACCAGCTTCAGATTCTAATGAGATATCTACTCTCCAATCATAGTTACCCTCTTGCCATTTCATCGTGCATATCATTATATAAAGTCACATACATACCGTGATGCTCATTTCTAACTTAAAATGGAAAATTGAACACAGTACTAGTATAAATAAAAGATTACTAACTTACTACTGCTTATCTTCTCCAGGTTTCTCTATTGTTGATGTTTCGATCACTTAACTTAATCCTTTCTGTGTTTTACTCCCGAAGTTCATGTACACTATCAACTTTCTCACCCTGAGTACAGTGTCTACGCTTTCACAATTGTTACGTTGTTAGCCTTCCCTGAAAAGTCATTTGAATCATCTTAAATATCCTTAATCAAGCAATCAAGAGCACCAAATGAGGAAAATATCTAGCACAATAGATTCCAAACAAATCACAATAATGTATCGTCGTCACTTGTTCCGCAATCTTATAAGGATATTTCATCTCAATAGGCCAAGAATTGCTAGAAGACAAACTGTCAGTATAATTATTAGATAATTTCATATTGGAATTATGCACACTAAGATTTACTGAGCCCTTCATTCATATAGGCTGCACTAGTGAAAATTTTTGACAGCCAAGAAAATGCAGGACAATAAAATGAGAGAAATCCTGGATAAGGAAATCAGATAGAAGACAAATGATCACATATCAGCAATGTACAAATCAAAATGGGACGCGAATTGAGCCAACAAAATCGGGTTGCAAAACCACACTTAACACATCTATAAAAGAAGAATCATACCTGGTTTTCGTTGTCCACTAGCCCCCAGCAGTCCAAACTAGTCCATTTTCCAAAACTCACACCTAAAACACAATTTAAGACAAATTTTTTTAGCAAAACACAATTTAAGAAAAAATTTAAGGAAACAAGGAAAAAAAAAAATTCCTCAACAATCAACAGAAAATCTAACACACAAATTAAAGCTTTAAACCAGCCAGTATATTTATTACTTCTAACAATTACCAATTATTTATCCGGCAATAACCCATCTAGAGTCCATTGTTCATAGCAAAAGTCAAAACAATGAACCCCAATATTGACATTCTTGAAACCCTGAATTTTTTTATGTTGGGATATATAACCTGCTAAATTATGAGATTCCAACATACATCATATATATACAAAAAAAAAAAAAAAAAAAAAAAAAAAAAAAAAAAATGAATGATGGGAAAGCATTTAATACTTTGGTTTCCAATTGATGATATTCATGATTATGATGGCAATGTTCATGAATGACACCGGTTCATGAGTCAATATAATTGAATATTTGGAATGTTTATGAATAACACCGGTTTATGAATCAATACAATTAGAATGTTTATGAATAGCGCCGGTTCATGAATCAATACAATCGGAATGTTTAAGAATGACACCAGTTTATAAATTAAATCAATACATGAACCTAGCTCTTTTGGCAAAATATAAATATGAGGAACTTAAGAGTAATTTGGCATACACAACAATCATCGTGAAAAAAAATACGTTGGACTTATTGTAATCATCTCTAATATCAATTTGGACTACTAGTACCGCTGTCTAGCCTTTCCCTCTTTTTTGGGTTATTAGTGTAACTAAAAATTCTAGTGTTTCTCTTTTTGTTTTTTTTTTGACAAGAGTGTTTATCTTTTTGTTATTTTCATTAAATTTGCAGATTTTATATCATCAAAAATTACGCATAGCATTTTGTTATTGTTCGACCTAAACCCAAAAAGTATCAACCCGAACTGACTTGAACTCGAAATGACTCAACCCTAACCAGTTCCACTAATTCCATTTCGATATCCATATTGGGAAAATTACTACAGTACTTTCGAAAGACATCCCAAAATATACGAAAGCATGGAAAAAGTTGTTATAACAATCCTTTAAAAGAGAAAAAAAAAATTAAAGCAGCTTATATTTGCTCTTCCAAAAATTCAAACCCCACCCTCAACAAGAATCATCTTTCCGTATTGTGTATAATAACAATCCTATGGAATTTCCCCTTTCATATTGTATTAATTTGCAAAGTGGAAACAAAAAAAAAATTAACGAGATAGGAACAATAAAGACATACAGAGTATAAAAACAAAAAGAAGAATTATTAATGAATCAATCCTTGTTCAAAAAATAAAATAAAAAATTTAAAAAAAGCAATCCAATAAAGTTTAACATGTAAAAAGTTAATAATGATCAATGCTGATAATTCCTGCAGAAATAATACGGAGTAATATTATAATTAGAAAATTACCTCAAAATCAGAGTGAAGAATGTAGCTAGCAGTGTCGCAGAGGTGAAGCAAGACAGTATCAGACTGAGTTTGAAGTTTGAAAGTGAGTAGTCTTCAAATGGTATACGCAACACTAAAAAAGGAAAAAGGGTGATTGCCAATTCACGCACATGGGTCATATTACCAACTGTTCAATAGCAGATTGTTTTCGGTTTAGGTTTGGATTTTTGCCTGAATCATTTTTTTAGGCCACACAAACCCACACTTTTTCCAGGCCGGGTCAATAGTGATTATGGCTTATATAGTCATAATCAACCTCTATCAAATAGTGTTTAACTAATAATGGAATGAATTAGTCACCATAAAAATTAAGGGACATCTGGGCAGCAATAAAACAACAAATTCAACTTCCATCAGAAACACTTATTATTACCATTACAAGATTTCACAAAACCATCAGAATGATATTTAGTACCAAATGATGATTTGAAAGTACTGTCAGTACAAATTGAACCAAATTTTGTAAATACCCTTTTGATGAATGAATATTCCAATCTAACAATTTCTCCTGGTTTTTTGGAAAAATAAATAAATTTGTAATGAACACTGCAACATCTTTAAAAGATCATCTGTTGCAGCAGTTCTGATTTACCTTCTTCCGAAAACAGAAACCGGGATGCAGGATGAAGTGAGAAAATTCCATCCTCAACAGAAATCAACTCATACAGTATTTTAAAGTCTCCCTGATTCAAGAGTGAAGCCTTCCATGATTTTAATTCTTTCTCTTGGCAGCTTCCTGGCATTTGTCTTTTACCTATGGAATGCTGATGAGACAATTTCTAGGTTTACAAGGTAAGGAAAACTGGAACCGCCTTCTGTAATCCAAGCAGACAGATCTTGGTACAATATACAACTCAACAATGCAATTATCCAGTGACTTACTGGTAGAAGCATCCAATGTCATAGCATAGTTGGGTACTTGGCATCAAGAAATTCCCTGAGGGTGCGAGCAGCTTTCTGCCCGCCCATCAGATCGGCCAGATTCTCAACTGGAAGAAGAGCCAGATCAGCTAAGCTACTACATCCATCCATTATAGCCCTGTAGTTAGAATCAGTGACACCTGGAAGACGTCGCAAGAACTCCACAGCAGATGTGTTATAGTTTTCAGCTCTGCCATGAAGAGAACAAAATGCAAGTATACCAATTAGTTTCTTTTGATAAACTTTCATTGTTCGATATTAGATATCAATGATTGATCAATTTACAAATAACACCATAACTGTCTGCAACAAACAAGACTCATCTTAACATTCCAAACTATACTTCATCAGGTCTTCTAGTTTGAAAAAAATAATATGAAGTAATAAAAATTACTGATATAACAGAGATGCATATATATGTTTTTCTGAACATCATTAAGGTTTGTTGTAGCATTTATAAAAAATAATAACCCCATTATATATAGGATATAAAAAATAAAAAAATAAATAAAAAAGCACGTGGAACAAAAATCTCACCTCACATCATTCTCTACAATTCCTTCCTCTGAGGGTACACCAACTCTTGTTGCTTTGGCCTCATCAGGTTCATCTTGATTTGCTTTAAGGGAGGCAAATATTTCAGCCGTCGCATGCAAACTGCGAGACCAGACAATACGCAGGCGGGGAAAGTGCATAGCTAGCAATGTGAGCTTTGAGATTATACTATTTGGTGTAACATCATCCCCAATATCACTTGCTGACTGAGAATTCAACATAATCAAATTAGCACTAGAGTTAAAATTAGAAGTGACTGAACATTAGTTGATAAGTGTCTGATTTGGACCTGGGGTTTGAAAAAAATTGACTTAAGACTTTAATGTCTCCAATGATTGGATCTGGGAAGTGAAATAATTGTACTAAGATCTCTCTCCTTGATGAAATTATTTTACAAAAATACATTATTCCAGCTCTCATAATTCAAAACCCAAGGTCTATGGATTGACGGAAAGAAGTATTAGGTATAATGTTTAGTAAAACATTTAATGTATCTAGTAGTAAGAGTGGAGCTTACCAGAAAAGAGAAGCTTTTATCTTGTGAAAACTCAATCAACAGAACAGGTATTCTATAATATCGCACCATCATTTCGATTTGGTGATAGAGCCGTCCAGATGTAAAACTGCCAAACAGATCCTGGATACTCTTCCTTTCTACACATATCAAAGGGGAGAGGATGTAATCACCAACTTCCAAGGTCACTGGTATAATGCGCATACCCTTCTGGTGGAGGACATTTGGAAGGCTGCTCATGAACTCTCTCATGTCCACTATAACCTAAAATAATTATTTTTTTAAAAAAATATAAGTTCAAAAGGTCAGCTTATATGCATTAAGCTAATTTAGCAAGCAAAATAAATTATATTTATAGAATCTCATGCCTGCATTTCTTTATCAGTTTCTTTTCTTCCACCAGCTTTTCTGGTTATTGAATTTTGTGCCACAGATGATTGTGACTCAATGGGAAAATTTACACCCAGAAGATGGTCATCCTGACAAACAGCAAACCACAAGACATTAGAGTTACGAAATAAACATAGCAGCAATTCAGCAAACTTACTGAAATCATTTACTTAATACAAATCAAATCTCAAATTAAATAGAAAAGCTTCCATATATAACAGCTCTCTTCCAACAAACACAAACATGTGTTCAGACACACAAATACAGGTTGAGCTCTCATTTTAAATAATTAAAACAAAAGTAATAGCAGTGAGCTTCTAACCACTAATCAACAATAAAATTAAGAGGCGAGTTAGATCTGTTACTAAGATATACATGCAACCGATAAACAAGCTGAAAATATAAATGCAGTAAGGGAGAAGAAAACCCAGCTAATATCACTATTACTAATTAAAAATAATAATAATAATAATAATAATAATATAAAAAAACAGATAAAAAAAAGTAAGGAGCATACCAAATTAACTGGAATCATCATCATCGATTTTTGCCTAATCAAAGACTCGAATGCCCCATTTTCACGACGTATACTTGCCTCAAATTTCTGTACCTCAGTTGAATCTTCATAGAATAAAAAGTAAACTTTCAACTTCTTGGAAGGGTTCTCAGCATTGTAGACCTCCACTTCCCGGACAAACGTGATATCAGGGTGGTAAGCAATGATTATAGATGGCTTCAAAATGTCAAGTATAGGCTGATCGCTCTCTAGGGCATGAAAATGTACAGGGGGTAGTGGCCTCCGGCTTGTAGTAATATCAACATCAATATCTTCAGTGTGTCTCCTAAGGATACCGTTTGCAGCAGGTAGAGTTCTTTGCTTACCTTCATGAAGACCACCTTCAGCAACTTTATTATCACCAGTTCTTTCGCCTTCGTTAACAGGACTAGCTATTTGAGACGTATCACTTGTTTTAGATTTGCTACGAGTCTTACTGTGCTTTTCTAGTGGTTTCTTGCTTTTCCCTTTTCTTCTTCCTGGCTCATTTACGTCGTTACTAACATCATGCTGGCAAGTATCTTCAACGGCTGTTTCTTTCTTGGATAGATTTTTTATCGCTGATGCAGCAGCCAGTAGCGCATCATTTTCCTGCTTGTTTATGCTGCTAGGTTCTCCATCTTCTTTACCAGTTCTTGAAACAACACCATCAAGTATTCCAAAACCTTTAGGCTCTTTAGCTTTCTTCTTAGCACCTTTTTGCCGTCCTTGATAACCTTTCAATTCTACTTTGCTCAATAAGTATTTCTCCCATTCTTCCCGCATGACCTGTTCAGTAAAGGATCGCAAAAAACTGAGTTTTTGTAAGCAGATATCAGTAACATAAAACCAAAAAAAAAACTGTGCGCCATTCAGACAGCAATCTTGCCAGGAATCTGAAAATGAGTAGAAACATCTGTTTGACAACACAACAATGCTTCTGTAATACATAACAAACAGCTAGAATACATAAGGACATGAAAGTTGATACTACCTTCTTTGGGCCATTTGTAATGCAATCCTCAAGCTGCATGCATGAGTGCTCATCTTTGCATGTCACCAAAACAATTCCATTGCTATCATCTTCGTTTTCACTCATAAATTCATCACTTGATAATGCTTTTTTCTTCCTCTCTGCTTCAATCTCCTCTAAAATGTCCTGGAAAAACATTGCTAGTCTTGTCAATAAAACAAGGACCGTATATCACTAATAGATGGTATTATAACTGTACATACATGAAAACATAATAAGAACAAGTAATGACAGATACTACAAAAATAAGATACAAAACTCACTCACTCACACGTAACACCTTCCACTTTGGTGGTTCCTCTAGAATCTCTTGGAGAAAAACTCCTCCACCTGAAGCTGAAAGCAAAGCATATTCTTTAAAAACAAATACAAGTATACGATATCAACGATACAGGGGTAACAGCAATTCATCCAGCAATTAAATTGTAACTTCTCTTCACGAACTTTTGGTTACTACATATATTTCATTCTCATCCAAATTCAATTTTAACACCATCACACCAAAAACCAGACTCACCTTCTTTCTCAGTGCTACTCTCCTTCGATTTCCTCTTTTTTCCCGACACATTTGTTTTCTGCTCAGTTGGCTTGCCTGCCTCTGACCTTGCAAAATGGTAAACACGCTTCTTTGCATACTCAAATATCTTATAACTTGATTCCGCAAAAATCCAGACCGACCTAAAACTCTCCGAAACCCTCAGTGAATCCAGATACTTCAAATATGTAACCGCATCATACCTACCAACAGAAAAGAGATATCTCATTCAACAGAACATCAAACAATACAAGTTTCCCGCCATCAAAACTAATACGACTGAACAATATCAAGACAACCTAATTCTTTTCATTTTAAATAGAATTAGTATGATGACTATGATCCAATATTTATATGAATTAAAGATCAGTACCTGACAAGATAATCCAACAATTTCCTCAAGGTCTTTAAATCCGAAACGAGCTGTTTAGTCTTCTTGCCTAATGTATGCCAAATTGGGTCTAATTGTCTCTTAATAATCTCATCAAAAGACTTAAACAATCCGTTCTCAACCGTTAAATCTTCAACATCAACCTTATTAGTCCTCCTCATTTCTTTCAAACAAGCATCCATAACCTCAATTATAGCCTTTTGAATCCCCTTCATTGCCGAATTCATCGGAACTCTTATATCCACCACCTTGGAAGGGCTCTTCTCGAGTTCCTCCGAAACATACACTTGAAACCTAGGCCACAAATGCAGCTTTCTAACAAACAAACACTTCATAATCCTCTCCGCTTTCGCAAACCCGGATACCATAGCGAAAGGCTTATCAGAAAATGCCCTTATATATGCATTCTTATTCAATGACCTCATAATTCTAACGATAAACGCCTCGGTCGAGGTCTCGGAGAGTGAATGTGCATTGAGAATCAAAATTCCAGCAATTTTCGAAGTGGGGATTCTAGAGGTGAGAAGATCAACAATGAGAATACGAGAAGTAATGAAATAAGCACCCCCAGATGAGTAAAGTGCATTGCGCTGGTGAGCAGGAAGCTCAGAAGTGATTTCAACAGGTCCGCCATTGAAATTAGGGTTAGGGTTTGAAATTAAGATTGATTTTCGTTGAGAAGGATTAGCAGAAAGGATCAAGAGAGTACCTTGATCGGAAGAATGAAGAGAGAGAAGAGTTGCGATGAGTTTAGAGAGAGAAAGTCCAGAAGAAAGAACAACTAAGCCGCCATTTGGGTCTTCCAAGAGGTCGGAGATGATGTGTTCGTGAAATTGTACCATTTGTTCTTCTCAATTGTGATTTATTCGTGAAATTAGGATTCTTCGCTCTTTGAATTGATGGTGTTTTCTCCGAATTTTGCAGGAATTGAGAAATCTAGGGTTGAGCAGAGATTGAAAAGGGGGAATTTCTCCCTCTTCTGGGTTGAAGGAGGGAAGATGGCGGGAAGAAAGAGGGCGAAAGTAGGTTAAATGGTTGTTTGTTGTTTCGGTTGAAATACGAGGGTTTTTTTTTTGTGCCAATTGCCAAATACAATATAGAACTAATCAACCCGGATTAGGTAAATGATGTGAAACTGATTTACTTCATAGTATGAATGTACGGCACCACTCGGACATGACTCTCGGACATGACTCAAGATGTCGAGCCATATATTACAGGATCGAAGCCAATCTTATGGAAACGATTAATGTAGTATGTTGCCCAACCGAGTTCAACATAGCCATATAGGCCATGTTTGGTCAATATACCTCAAGCGGCAAGCATATGCTTACTTGGAGTTTCTCCAAAGATGAAAATGAGTGAAAAAAACATAGTACCTAATCTAGGTACACTCGAAAAAAACTACTCCGTAAGAATTTGTATTGTGTATAACATATGAAGCCACAAGAAAATTATATTTTAAAATTCCAAGAAAGAACTTCCTCGTAAAGAGGTCTTATATAGTGGCAACTCAAAACAAATGAGGCAAGCCAACATATTTTGTTCCAAAAAAAAAATAACTACAAATAAATTAATCGTTGGTGTACAAGTAAACAGACTGAATAGACTGCCAGGAAAACTATTTGTTGGAGGTAATCACAGAGAAGGCTGAATAGACATAAAAATTAAAGAGCTCTGACAAATTCTATAGCTTATGTGAAATATCTTCATGATTTGATTTAATTCTCTGAACCAAGATTGGAATAGGTTTTTCTAGGACAGAAACGTTAACGTTGTTCCACACATCAGGCCTCGTTGGGAGCTGAGCGATTTTCTCAGCAATTTCCATATCCTCTGGAAGGACAGAGCCAAAAATTGTATAAGAATTTTTCCACTCTACATGGCTGGCCAAGCTTATGAAGAACTCAGGACCAGAACCAACCCATGCAACTACACCTCTTCTGACAGTTCGACATACTTCAGTAGGGATTGTCTGGAAAGGCATGCCTGCTGCTTCAAGTGTTCCTTGAATCAGGGCATATGGAGGGCCAAAAGATGCCTGAAATACCACTTGAGCTACTAAGTAATAGATCAAGATGGAGTAAGTCGACTAATACGAAGTATATCTCGCAGTGTCAAGTGGCAAGAAGATATTCAAAGAACCCAAAATTCATCAAAAGGAATATAACTCACATCTTTAATATGGTTGCCCTTTAGATCCCAAGATTCCCCTCGCCCTTCTGCTCGGTAAAATTGGCAGCCAGCACAATGGCGAAGTGTCAGTAATTCAAGAATGTACTGCACTGAATATGGAGCAGAATCAGGGTAGAGCTGCACCAAACTGAGCATTGTAAGAAACATAGTACACCCCAGTAATAGACAAATGAGACAGAGGAATGAGGAATCATGAACACACCATGAAAATTATTATCAATGAAAGATTAAAATGTAATAATGACAAGTAAATTTAGAAATATGGATGCTATGCACAAACCACATGCAAAAGTTTAGAGAATTTGGCAAATTGCAAATTATGCTTGAGCAATCAAATACTAGGGAAGCCACTGTATTTGTATGATATAGTAGTAGTAGTAGTAGTAGTATTCAAATCGACTGAGTAGAGGCTCTAATTACCAACTTCAAGGATGAAGACATCAACTGGAGGGCAACTAAATATGCTCCTACAGTTTGTTGGATTTAAGTATGGTCTTGCTGAGAACCAAACAGTAAACAATTACAGATGAAGTCAGAAGTGCTTACTTTTATATGAAGGGTACCATGCTCAGTTTCCAGACCAATGATTCCCTGCAGAAAAGATAATAAGCAAGCATGAAAATCAATAAGGAGATTAAACAAAGAAACAGGAGCAACAAGTATAACAGGGGCACAAAAATACAGCAGAATCACTTCAAGGGAAAGACTGAGCAAAACTTTTGCTAGCTATACTTCTAGGACAACTCCAAGAGAAAATCATGGCAGTATTTGACAAATGAATAATGTCTGCCACCATCGACTATTTTCGGTTATTTTACTATATTTGAAAACTTGCAGCTTATCCAAGTGTCAGATATGTGTCACATACGCTAATCATTACCATCAACATTACCCCATAGCTTCTAAAGAGCCTCTCACCAATTAAGGCTCAAAGGGGAGTGTGCAGATTAATAAAGCCGCATAGAGGAATTTTTCCATAAGACTGTTGAATTGAAACACAACAGCCTCACATTAAATATAAAGCACAAAACATATATGAACCGTATGGAAACAAATTTTGATTTATATTCAAAGCCAAAAATTTAAGGATCCAACAGAGATCATTACACTAATGAGGAAAACAGGTTGGGAAGAAACAGCAGTTGCTATTGGAGTGTCTTACAGTTGATTTTAGGAAGTTCAAAATTTCGAAAGTGAAGTGCTCAGATTTCAGTGAAATATTTGGATATAATTAGTACAGATTGCAAAACAGTCTGTTACAAAAGAAATATACATCATGCTCACATTGGAGGACAATCAATAGTTTCGCAATCCAGACATTCATTAAAGATGTCATTTGTTATATTCACATAAATATATCATGCATACTCTGGCATTATAGATTTATGGAAACTAAGGGGTTGCAACATTCAAGAAGAGAAACCTACACTAACCAAGATTACACTAGAAAATTAAAGATTTCATTTTTAAACATACATCCCATAGAAAATATTTTACTTGACAAGAAAACTGAATGTTATTTGCAGGAACTATGAAAATTTAAACATAACAGAAAATAGAACTGTTCATAAACTACATCAGAGAAAGTAAACATTCAAGCATAAAGTCATATGAAGTACTACAAAGGAGAAAACATCGGCAACTATAGTGACTGCATAAGATATATAGAGCTTGTTACACACATCAACAGAATGGAAAACATTGATTTTAAGTTATTAATCAAGTAGTATGATGTTTATATATACACAGTCTCAAAGCATTTTACTATGTAATAGAAAAGATTGCACACCTCATATGGAAAGGTGAGAAAGAGTGTATTTCCAGCATATTATGTACCTCTCCTTTGCCAAATACAAGACCAGAAGTCCACATTACTCTGCTTCCTGCATCTTGACGCTGTGGTACCCAAGTATCCTTCTGCTTCTTCAACCAACACTGAAATCCCAGAAGAAGTTAATGCAATTTTCCTGGAGATTGATAATCATTGCTTCAATACAGCCTAGAAAGGTCGAATCTTCAATTACTGACGGCATATTCAGTAGGCAGCAACAAATGTCAGTAACTTTGTGTGAAACTTTGCAAGGAAATTCTAACCTGAGATAATTTTCATGCTAATGGCTAATGCAATTCTACCCCCAAGTATTTGATTGTCTCCATAAATTCTCATTAGCACTCAATCCTACCTCGAGTGGAATCGCATTACCATAGACATATTAATCAGATTATTCCTTACAAAATTATACACAAACTCATTATGGAGTACCCCCATTTATTACCACCTACCAAACCAATATTCACCTATATGGCATCCCAACATGTAATAAGCATTACATATTACTTAACTATAAGAAGTTGATAGAAGCATAGAACATCCTTCCTAACACAAACACACTTTAAGAGCAAAACTGAGATCAGAAAATCAAAATTCCTACTCTAATTTAGTAATTTCAATCACTATCATCACAATTAATAAAAAGCAACACACTTTACTAAACTCAACTACTCAAATCTACAACAATTGTCAAATCCAACCAAAACAATCACAATAAAATACCCAAATCAAGAAACAATCAAAATCAACAAATCCATTTCATGAATTCAACAAAAACCAAGAATAAGATCAAGCTAACCTCACCAAATTGCCGCCCACAAGCATTACGATCACCGCAAAACACCCAACTATCACACAAACAAGGTCCATCTTTACCACTACACATAGCCTTACATGATTTACAACACTCTTCTTCAGAGTTATACTTATGTTCGGTACCCCACTTCACGGCCGTGCCCCAAAGCTCCAATTTAGGGATTCCTCGGCAACACCCACCTCCATTTTCTCTCTCCAAACTCACTCCATCACTCTCATGACTCTCATCAATAGCCAATCCATCATAATTTGAGATTGGATTACTGGGTTTTAGCACAGTTGAGATAACAAAATAGGCTAAAGTGCAAGCCAAGAAACCCAGCAACAGAAGACCCATTGAGGTCCAACGACCCACGTTTGAGTCGATTGAACGACGACCCATTTGAGATTTTCGGGTCAATTGAAAAACCCAGAAATTAATTTGGGTTTTGTGTTCTAGATTTTTGTTGCAAAAAAGTTAAGTTGATCTGGTATGATTTACGCCAAAAACAGGGGATACCCTCTATCTCAATAGATTCTGCATTAAATTGGGAATTTAATGGGCATTTAAATTTCTTGGGAATCTCTATTACCGGATTTTAGGCGATTTAAAGGGAAAAAAAAAAAACGAAAATCGAGATAGGTTGTTTTGAATGCAGGAGGTAGAAGATCAATGCTTTAATTGCCTAATTTCTCAGTCACTGCTTCACTGAATTTGGGGTTGTTACATTTTAGGACGTCAGATAATCGTTGTTCACATTATGGGAAGCAAGAGAGGTGCCAAATGTCCAAAGGCCCAAAATCTGTTACTCGTTGTAGTCTTGTAGACTTGTAGCTCAGGGTTTGTTTGTTTTGTGCGGTTTTAGGTTATTACAAAATACGGAGTATTATTTATTGTACGAGTAATTCTTTATTTAATATATTAGTTTAATTGATTGGAAAATTTGCAATTTGCAGCCATTTAAAGTATTTATTTTGCAAATTGCAGTCTAAAAGTACTACTACCTTATCAATTGCCACCAAATTTTATTTTTTCCTCGAATTGCGTGTTAAAAAATATCCCGTCAAGGCTTTAAAGGATTATTTTAGTCCTTGGGACCCCAAATTGAGCTCGGAATCGGCAAAAAAATCAAGTAAGTGCCTCGTTTTGAGTATTAAAAAATAACATAAACGCAAAACAATCCCTAAAACGAGGCACTTAAGTTAATTTATTGACAATTTCGAGCTTAATTTGGACTCTTAATGACTAAATTAACCCCCTGAAACCTTAACGGGATATTTTTCGACACACAAATCGAGGAAAAAAAGAATTGGGTGGCAATTGACAAGTTAGTAGCGACTTTTGGGTTCCGATTTACAATTTTATTTTATTTTTAATGACTGCAATTTGCAAAATACATACTTTAAATGGCTGCAATTGACAAATTTTCCTAATTGATATAGTAAAATTAAACAAAATTTGTGCAAAATAGGAATTATTTATCATATTAGCCTTGAAAATTAGTTTTTATGGTTTATAAATTCATACGTGAAAAATAAATTGTTCAACAATATATGTAATGTATAGAACAAAATACTGACTTATATACTATGTATTCAATCGACAATTGATCATCAAGGCAATTCTATTCAATTGATATCAATGTGTTGTTGCTTAATTGTTTGGAAATCAACCACGATAACCACTTATTTTAAATTGTGTGCATAACGGTAAAATGATAGTTGGACCGTCTTTTGAGGGAAAAGGAGTATCGTTTAGGACATTAGGGTAAACTTGATTGCTATATGAGTGTATGTACATTCTACTGTCGTCGATATTTCTTAGGAAAATTTGTCAATATACGTACACTAACATGTAATTTATTTATTTTTTATTTTTTTTTAATTGACACTAACATGTACTTCGTAGTACAATATATAGTAAGTTTTGTATGATTTTATTCACTAATGTACGTTAAGTAAAGTTCACTCACTAATGCAAAGTTATATAACACCGATACATCAAATCAAATTAAATACTTGTACTAAGAATTTTAAACTACTGCAACTTTAAATGACAATGTGTTTTCATGAGGACAGCAAAACGGTCGTATCAAGTGCAGAATTGGTGTCTTGAGTTTCAAGATATTCGGGCCATTATCGAGGAGGAGTGGAGGAAGCATTTAACGGGGTCACCTATGTACTATCTAACTAGGAAGTTAGTCACTTTAAGGGGACGTCTGCGGCATTGGTGTTTGAGACACACCAAACTTTGGGGGGTCAATGGGAAGGTCTTGACTTCTGAGTTAGAACCAGACGGATTGGCTGCTACAAATATTCCCCTAGCTCGGTCATACCTTAATCATGTGGAGGGAGCCTTAACTACTGCAACTTTAAATGTGACATACTGGAAGCAAAGGATGAAGGAAACATGGGTGGCATCGGGGGCCATGCCAACATCCTTACTTTACTCTTGGGTTAAGATGCAACAACGGAGGAACCAAATTTTGACTCTAAAAGATGATTCGAGCACATGGATTGAGGGTCGACAACAGGTTAGGGATTTGGTGGTTGATTCAATGACGAAGGTCTTGTGTCCCCAACAAGGGATAGATTCTGCTGGTCGATCATACTGACTCACTATTGAGGGAGCTAGATATACCAAGTATGGGCGACAGACAGGTTACTGTTTTGACTAGGCCCTTTTCTGCGGACGAAGTCCGAAGGGAAATGTTTAGTTTATATGGGGATAAAAGCCCAGGTCCTGATGGTTTCAAAGCTTCTTTCTTCCAGAAACATTGGGATACAGTGGGAAATTCAGTTGTTCTTGCGGCGCATAGTTTCTTCAACACGAGGTTTATACTCAAGGAATACAACCATTCAATTCTGGTGATGATACCAAAGGTAGAGATTCCAGAGGTGACATCTAATCTCAGGCCGATTAGTCTTTATTTGTAATACTGTCTATAAATGCGTCTCCAAATTTTTAGTCAACTGCCTGAAGAAAGCTTTACGGATCTCATTTCATAGTCTCAACATGCTTTTATTACAGGAAGACAAATGGCAGATAACATTCTTTTGAGCCATGAGGTGATGGATAAAATAAATAGCAAGGTGTCGGGAGCGGATTATTTGGCGGTAATGAAGATTGACATGAGTAAGGCTTATGATAGGGTAAATTGGGTTTTTCTGTAAAGGGTTCTACAGCACTACGGGTTCTTAGGGACATGGATTCGGATGACCAGACAGTGCATCTCGACGGTTTCTTACAAAGTTCTTCTGAACGGGGACATAAGTGACCAGTTCCGGCCTTCCTGTGGTTTACGCCAAGTAGATCCTTTGTCACCCTATCTGTTTTTATTTTGTATGGATGTCCTCTCTAGGATGCTTCAGCAAGGTTGTGAAATGAGACTCTTCGATGGTATCAAATTAGGAAAGCGGGGCCCTTCCATCTCACATTTGTTTTTTGCGGATGACGCCCTCTTATTTTTCAAAGCGTCGGATCGAAGTTGCATGGCCATTTCTGGCATAATCAACAGGTTTTGCATGGTCTCGGGTCAGCAGCTGAACCTTGGAAAGTCACATTTCAAGGTCAGTCCGAATACCCCGGTTCAGATCCAAAATGGTTTTAGATCAAGATTGGAGATGGATTAGGTTAATTAATTTGGTGTCCATTTGGGGGTGCCTATTGATTTGATGGGCCGTAAAGGGGCGTCCTTTCAGTTCATCATTGACAACATTCGGAAAAGAATCTCTTGGTGGAATGCAGTTCTCCTCTCCCAACCTCAAAAGATCATTTTAATCAATTCTGTTCTCATCGCTATTGCCTCCCATGTGCTAAGTTGTTTTGAGATGCCTACTGGTATTTCAAACAAAGTTGACTCTCTGCTAGCAGGGTTCCTTTGGGCAAACAAAGAACAGCGAGGGATGCACTGGGTAAGCAAAGATAAAGTCAACCTTCCAAAAGGAATGGGGGGTTTAGGGGTCCGAAGCTTGGGTTATTTCAATGAGGCTTTACTTATGAAGCAGGCGTGGAGATTATTTCAAAATCCCCAATTATTACTGGCTAAAGTCTATTCAGCAAGGTTTCATTCTCCGCTCTTAAGAGGAACTCAGGTTAGAGTGACAAATAGGAATTTCTCTTGGGGCATGCGGGGTCTCGCTGAAGCCGGGAATAACCTTCTTGGGGGTTGTGGTTGGAAGGTGGGGAATGGAAAGTCCACATTGGCAGGAAAGGACAGGTGGATGACAGGTGAGGTTCCGGTTTTTAATTCCAACATCACGCTCCGTCAAGCAAAAACTTGGAGGGTGAGTCATTTTTTGGACCTTGAAACTCATGGTTGGAACCACGCACAACTAGTCGTTGCCTTCGAGCCTAAGGATGCGTCGTTAATTGCTAGCTTGGAATCACCGAATCATGGTGAGAAAGACTACATGTTCTGGAATTTTCACAAGTCGAGAAGATTCACAGTCAAAACGGGGTATGCATTCCTTAAACGTTCGTCCGTGGGCTCGAGGGATGTGGTACAAGAGGATATTTTTAAGTCCCTTTGGTCCCTCCACATTGTACCAAAGTGGAAACTTTTTATATGGAAACTTCTTTGGAATGGAATTGCTACTAAAGCTAATTTGGGGATAAGGGGACTTGAGATTTTAGTGGATTGAGACCTTTGTGGATCGCATGAGGAGGATTTACAATAACATTTGTTCAGGTTTTGCACAACTGCTCAGGATGCTTGGAGAGGTGGAATTTTACATATCCACTCAGAAGCTAACGCAAACCAGTCTTTTCATGATTGGATTCTGTATTATATCTGCCTATTTTTAGGCCAAGATGGTCATAATGGTCATAGGGCTACTTTTTAATCGCAACCATGTGGGGTTTGTGGAAAGTAAGGAATAACAGGGTTTTTAGATCCTCAACTCCGTCTGACCTATCAACGCCGACAATAATTTCTGAGTGTTTGCGCAAGCAGGGTTTGTTCTCCAAGAAACTTGAGGATAGCCTGAGATCTTTACACCCACCAGAAATGGTTGCAGACTACCCGCCAGGGTTTATGCGAGTTGTCCTTCGTGATAGTGGGATGAGTGTGTTGCCTACAGTGACTCTGGTCGATGGTTCTTGGCATAAGCACACTCATAGATCAGCGATGGGCTGGTGCATGGAGAATGGTGTTCAAGGGGATCAAGGGCTACTACTGGGGGGAGCTAGCAGCGGTTTGGCACAATCGATTCTACATGCGGAGATGAACGCCTGCCTACAAGGTCTCCAATGGGCTGCGACAAGGTCCTTGCCAACAGTAACTATATACATGAACTCTTCGTCTATCATCCTACTACTGCGGGATACACAGATGAGTGATATTGGTCTTCGTTGGACAACAGATCGAATTCGACAGTTGAGCACAGGTTTTGATTGGTGTTGTGTCCATAAGGTTCAACGGGACATGGTACAAAAAGCGCATGACCTAGCTACTATAGCCAGCAGAGTCTTTTGTCTTTTAATAATTATATGTAATCCGTTTAAGGTTATGTCAACAGAAAAAAAAAAGAAAAAAAAACTTTTGTACTTTTATAAATCATAATTCTTGTTGAACAAATTGAAATGAGACCTTTTTAAGAGAAGATATAATTTGTTGATTTATACAATATTAGAGTAAAACTTAATCCAACTTATATAAATGAATTGGGATGAAAACTGACATACCACAACGTCGTATTGTTTGAATTGAAGGAACTGAGGGAGTAATGAGTACTCATTCTGTCTTAGGATAAATGTCCGTTGGACTTTTTTTTTCTCTATTTTACATACTGTACCATCTTCGACCACAGTTTT